TAGAGATAGGATACGAAATGAGCATATACGTGAAAAGGTTGGAGTAGCTCCAGTAGAGATAAGATTAGAGAAAGTCGCCTTAGATGGTTTGGTCACATAAAACGGCGGCCTTGCGATGACCCGGTTAGGAGAGTAGAGGTATTAGATTTGACTTATGTTAAGAAAGGTAGGGGTAGACCTAAAAAGACTTGGTTAGAAAATATTAGGAATGACCTTTCTTTATTAGATTTAAACGAGAATTTGACTTTTAATAGGACACAATGGAGAAAAAGGATTCATGTAGCCGACCCCACGTAGTGGGATAAAGGCTTGATGTTGTTGTTGTTGTTGTTGTTGTTGATGTTGTTGTTTCTTCTTCCTTTGGTTCCTTTGGGTATAGCATGAAGGTCAACAGGTTTCTATGCATCTATAATAATCAAGTTCTTGCCATAGGTTTTGTAGAAGGGTGACATACTCCATCACGGTCTTGCTTCCTTGTTTTGTGCTCTGATTTTGATTTCAAAGATTTGAGTAACATCCTGAGCTTTAGAGAAAATTTGTCTCGAGAGGAACATAAATGTATCACTAATTTCTAGAGTCATAGAATTCCACAACCATGACATAATCATGGAATCTACCTCATCCCATGCCCCAAAATTAGGATCTTCTCCTTTTGGTCATCCTCTAAGGAGATGGTATATCCTTCCATTTCCCTTTAAGTAGGCTTTTACAAATTCAGATCACTTTAGACAGTTCTTCTCGTTTAGGCGCGCATACTTTGGAGATAACCTCGTTCTTGGTGTATCATAGAATCTTCTATTTGATCAAAGTTTCGGGATGAATTTTCTTCCGACATTGTGGTGTTACAATAAGTAGTAATAAAGACTACTTTTAAAGGCCTATTTTTATGCACTTTTATCAGCAATGAAGGCTGAATAGGGTTTTAATAGGTCGGGCTCGAGACTTGCGTAAGTGGGTCTGACTCGGGACTCGAGTGGAAAAAAAGGAAGTCTCGGCCTAATCTTCCGTGAGCAGAGGGATTCCGTCCCGCTTAGGGCGAGTCTTCTCTCCTCCCGTACGAGTGGATTATCTAGTGGTACTGTCAGCAAAGCTTCGTCAAGGTCGCGGCATTTTCTGCGAGGCGTTGGCAAAGTTGCGGAGCCTTCTTCCTTCCACGAGGCTTTCATCGGCAAGGTTTTGTTCCACAAGGTCGCGGCTTCTTCTTCCTTCCGCGAGGCTTCTTCTTTCGTCAGCAAAGTTTCGTCCGTGAGATCTAGGTTTCGACTTCGGCCTTCGTCAGGTAAGGCTTCGTCCCGCTAGGCTCCGGCTCCGTTCTTCTCACTCGACATCCGATGGTTTCCTCTTTACTTCCTTCGTGGCTCTGATAGCCTGTTAAAATCAGAAGTTTGAGAGAAAAAACCATATTCCATACAGGATATCTAAATAGTGAAACAAATATTTACAGATTAATGCATAATAGCCCTAATGCATTCCTTCCTAAATCAGCTACTTCATTTTGGAAAGGAATCAATATGATCCTGTGTGATTCTTGCGAGCTTCCCACGAATCGCTCTTCGTGGTCGTCGGATCTCCTTCGAGAGGAAACAGCTGGGATTTTAACATGTTTCAATGTTGTTAAATCTGAAAAAACTGCAGTTAGATTAGAATATTTTAATAAGCATGAACCTATGCTCTAGCAAGAGTTGGAATTTGAGCCTGAAAATTACATTGAGAATAAAATCACATATGAACTTGAAACTCTATGAGAAATCTAGTCTACACTAGAAAATGAGCATGAATTTATATCTGAAAAAAGTTCAAATCAAAATTTAAAAGTGTACCTATTATGATATCAATATGTAATCGAAATCTCAATTTATAATTGAATTCAAAAATAAATTAAACCTAAGACCAAACCTAAACAAAAAGTGCAACTTGAATTTGAATGTGATTTTAAATGTGAAATTAAACTGCTCACAGAAATTGAAACTTCAACTTCCAAAGAAATTCATTGATATAAATTTAAACTTCTAAAAGATCCTGAGTTTAATCCTAGTGAGAAGGTAAGCAAATCATGATTATTAAACTTGATAAATCAATTAATGAAGGAGATCATTTAACTCTTTAATAAGTTTCCAACAAAATCATCTCAACAAATCAAGTTTAAATTGATTATATTTTTAGTTCTTAGTTTCATGACTTACAAATTCACAAACATAGTCTAAAGGAGACAATGAAACTGTGTGCATAGTGCAACAATTTTCTTAATGATGAGTTCCTTCAAGAAAATTTAAACATACAAATTTCATTTATGTGGTCAAATCTAAAATACATAAATTAACCTAAGTGGTCATTTGGAATAATTTTCTTTAAAGAGATTATTCATCCATATTGACATATCATATATAATTTATATGGTCAAATCTATGAACATAGTAATACATCTAAAGTACATAAAAGCATTTTGCAGCTTCGGTGCAAGTTAAATCTAAGGTTGTCGTTTTACAGTTTGAGGATTTTCAGAAAAATGCCAATTGTGGAACTTTATAATCCATAAATTAAATCCCAGATCAATTCAAAAGTTGAAAAAATTTAAATTCCCTCTTAAAGTTGTATACACTAATTATTTGGGTATTCTTCAGGTGACAACTTTTGAGGGAGTTTTCTCATTATAGTGACAAAGCCAAAATAAACACTTCGGTGATATACCTTCTTTACCTCCCCTCTTTTTTTAGTTATTGGTTTTATGTGATGACTAATATCGGGTAAGTTAATACATTTTTCTTTATATTTGAATCCTAATTATTGCATGCCTTTGTTAGACCGGCCCAAGGGCCGGCTAAACCGGTCCCTTCTAGACTGGTTCATGTATACAGGAGGAGGAAAATTTCAAATTAAGCGTTGTTTAGGGATTACTGAATTCTAATTTTTCTTTAAGTAATTTCCTTCTTGTTAGGGTTAAGGGAACTTGAATTAAATCTGAAATTGGAGATATCTGTTTGTGGTTTTGGGCTCAAGATTTCGGCTAGATATTGACGATTGGTTGCATCGGGTTATTTCTTTTCAACTCTTATAGAATTTCAAGTGCTTGACTTTTCTATTTCTCTCCAGATTTTGTAAAATCTGCTTGATGTTTGCTGAATATCTCTGAAATTCAGCACATTTTCTCTGTTTTGGTGGTTGTTTCCTAACAGTCTTTAAATCAACCTTTATCTTTTTTACAAATTTCAGAATTTCGTTATCTCTAACTTCATGTTTATTGACAGTTTTTTGTGTTCTCTAATTTCATAGAAAGAGACTAAATTTTGACAAAACTGCGAATTGGTGCACTATAAATTTTGGCCATTTATGCATGCTTTTGGGCATCACATCATAAGCTTGCACTTTTTAACTCTAGACCCTTAAACATTCTATATTAATAAGCCTAAGAAGTGTAATCAAAGAGTATTAATTCAAGCATTATACTCAGTTTCTCACCTAAAAGTCTCAAGCACCAATCCCAATGGATGCATATGTATTTCTCCAAATCCATAAAAATTAATATTTGTAATAGGCCTTGAGCCCCCACTTTATGTCCACAATTGAGGTTGTATACATTTAATATTTATATTTTTCTTTGGCCCACCAAGCAAAAATATTTTATAGATTTCTATCCATGAAAAAAACAAGCTTATAAAGTGTTTAATGCAAGGTATCCTTTGGATGTAAAGTATATCAAATTCACCTCAAGAATGGGAGGGTGATTTCAATCATCATCAATATGTTCTAGAACTTTTCCTTCATCAGAAAAGACCAACTCTTACATAACACCATTTAATGCTTTTTATCGAGCTCCTTCCATGTCTTTACATTGTAGCATTTTGCACTGCAGATTTTGAAAATCTTAGGAATGTGCATTTCTTCATTTTGTTTGCAATTTCAAAACTTATGTTTTAGCTTGGTTTTAATTGGATATAATAGTTGAATTTCAAAGGTCCATATTAGACAGGGAGGCGGGATCGGAGGCACGCACGCGGGATGGCTAGGCTCGGTGGCGATTCGGACGGAGATGGCGGCGGCAGCGGCGATCCGGCGGGTTCTTTGGGCTCGGCGACGTGGATTCGGCCGGGTCTAGGGCACGTCGGGTTCGAACAGCGAAGAACAGGCAGTTGGAGGTCGGAGATGGCCGGAGCAGATGAGGTCAGTGACAGATTCGGCGAGAGGAAGAAGACGGATGTCAGAAAGGTAAGTTGCCGAACTTCTTGCTTCTGATTCCTTGCGATTCTGAGAGCGTATGTGTGCGTGAGTGTGCGTTAGAGAGCGTTTGAATGAGAGGGATCTTTTTATTTTGTGAATGGCGGTGGTTGAATCGTCGTGAGGTGGGCCCGGTGACGATTGTGTCATGTATGTCGGTGATTTCGGTCGGGAGCGATTTTGTCCGATGTGGAGCCTATTGTGTGCAACGGTTACAGTCAACACAAGTGAACTTGATGTTGAAAATGTCAATTAAGATGTAGACAAACACACACATTCCCAATTACATCATGATGCCAAACAAAAGAGAGATACATCTCATGAACCTAATTTAAACAAGGATACTATGCTGGAGTTCAAACAGGGCATAGACAAACAAAAACTTCAGTTGTAGGCTTGAATGTAGATTTACTATTTCATGCAGGCAATTAAGTAATCATAAATGATCATGGTGTATGAGCGAGACAAGTTTGGGAAGTTGACAGTAAAAGGTCAAATTTTAGATTCAAGTATTGCAAATCAAATGAACAAGATTAAATTAATTGCAGCATCATGAGCAATAAACAAAACACTTTTTCAACAGTAGAGATGACTATCTGGAATGATTATCACAAATTTAGACACGGATGTGTATAATAAATATAAGCGTGCGTGTGTATATATATTGCCCAACATATCACACAATGAAGTTTACATTCACATAACATAAAAGTTATGATACCCAATTGCAGGACTTACTACACATAGGAGGGAAAGAGGAAAATATACAGATTGCAAAGCATACTGACTTGAAACTACGCCCATTGTGTGTTAGAAGAAGATATTCAGGAGCATGAGCAACCGATGATTCAGTTGAAAATAGTTGTATGCACTCCTCAAAAGGAACCAATTCTTCCAGGTTATTTGCCCCTTCATGGAAACTTGGTTCTATTTGGATAGTCCACTATAAGATAGCATCTAATTAGTATATAGAAGAGATAAAAAATAGATGCAAATCAAATAAAGTAAATTTCATTTGCATTCTCCATATTTTTCCATGTAGCTAAATGAGAGAAACTTGTTTTCTGATTATAACAATAACAAATTTGGCTATAAGCAAAGAAAAAGAAAAATGAACCTCAACAGTTTCTATTAACCAAACTGGTTCGAGATCCATTCATCTCAGCGAAAACTTTCCACAGACATGGTTAAATTCTCAAACAAAACCACTTGGTAGGACAATCAAGCCCTCAGAAGCTAAACGCAACTTGACCAAGAATAAAGTACCAAGGCTACCACTTGGTAACAGAAAATCATACGAGCAAGAAGCAATGCAGATCAGCATATGGATTTTGAACTATTTTATTTTCAATAGTATCATTAACACGAAGAGAAACAGAATAACAGACTCAGACCTTTGTGCTCAAAGATAAGAGGTTAAGACATCGAGCATGACATATGCCTACACCTGTGCAATGGGCAGGCTTGAATAGAAAGAACCAGGCCCAACTTTCCTGGACTAGGCCAGTACCAGTTCATGGCCCAACTAAATAAATGACTATCTTTAACTTAAATAAATTGACTTATTTAATCAACACAAAAGAATTTATATGTTATAACTTCATTAAATTTGTGTTTAATTTAAGGTATCAATTTTGAGCCAGTTATGATCCAAGCCAGATGTAAAACCCGCAAAATGTTGTTTAAGACCGCGCACGCTTTTCAAAGCGCCGCGACGAGTTTTAAGTGAAAATTTTGAAGTTGTCGGATTTCGACGGGAATAATTTTAGAAAATATAGCGTAAAATTCTGATCGTTTTGATGTATAGAACCCATATTGGATTTTAAGTATTTTGGGAATTAAAATTTATTGAAAACTCTTAATGACAACTTTACCCCTAAGCTTTTAAAAGGTCGAAATTGCTTAAGTGAGGGCAATTAGGTCTTTTGGCCATTCCCATTTCTCTCTATTTGGCAAACCGAAACCTCCCCACTCTCCCCCATTCGCTCTTTTCGCCCAAACCGAGCGGACAAAGGAGAGGCGGACGGGCAAGGCGACGAGAGCTTCGGGTGGAGGGTTTTCGGCGGCCGATTGTGGAGGAAAACGTGGGGAAATCCAAGGGAAGACTAAGGTATGTGTTTTGCTTGAGTTTTCTCCTTCTTCCCTCAAGTTTTCTCTAAGAAATGGAAACTAGGGCTTTCAGAAAAATTGGAATTTCTTTGAGAAAAGTTTAGGGAAGGGTAGTGTGATGTTTCTAAACCCTAATGTATATTGTTTTTATGAAAATGTGGATTTTTGAAATCTAGGGTTTTATTTGATTTTGATTTTCTATTAAAATGCCTTTGTAGAAAAGTTTATATTTGTGGTTAGGAAGTCTTTTTGTGAAAATGGATTCTTTTTAGAAGAAGTTTTTGCATGCCCTAATAGTTAGGGTTTTCCAAAGCTAGAGTTAGGATGAAATCCTAATTCTAGTGAAGATAAAATGGATTTAACATGGTTTAAGTGAGGGATTTTTATAGAAAAACCAATGCTTGATATGTTGATTAGCTACATGCTTTGCCTAGGGTTTTTCTTTTAAGGTTTGAGGGAGGAAAACTTATGCTTACACATTATGTTTTGTCATTTGTAGTGTGAAAAAGAATTTTGGATCCCCTTTTGTATTTTGTAAACTTAATGTTAAATTCATCTATTGGTGTTTTGGAATGAAAGAAAAGAAAAGTTTATGTTTGGAGATTTTGTAGTGGCTCTTTCCTTATGTTTGGTACTTTTTGGAGATATGTTAATTGTTTATTGTGAAGTTTCTTTTATTTTCATCCTGTCCGACATCTGTTCCCGCCTCGCCCTCGCGAGCTAACCGGGCCGGGTCGTGACACCAGATGCTTGAGCTCCCCCCCCCCCCATGCCAAAGACAACGCCACACCGAAGGAAGATATTCATTGTGCCACAAGCACAAAACTTGGTTTGTACAATTTGAGCAGTCAGCAAACACAGCAACAGGACTCAATAAATATTTATTAACACTGTAGTAAAAGTAGTAAAAGATGAAGAAAGATAGAAGAGAGTGTGAGGACAGCACGATGGAAACATTACAAACCATCAACCCAACACAACATCCACAGCATATGGTAGGTGCGACATGAGCAGCCAACAGGCACAGCAATAGAGGCCAGTGAATAAGATTACCACTGTAGTAAAAGAAAAGAAGGATACAACAAGAGAGAGGAAGATTGCAAAGACAGCACCATGGGTATAGTACAAACCATCTGCCCTATACAACACTCCAACATTGTAATAACCAGAAAATCAGGTATCTCTTTTACAATAAGTTTAATTAATATTTTTAAATTTAATTTGCATTTTAAATATTAAATAGAAATTAAAATTCTGAAAAGATGATGCCTTTGGATTATTAGAGGAGAGAGCAGTTATAGCTTGGGTCCCACTCTTCCATCCTTATCTGTTTTGGATATCACGCAAGCCATCTGTAGGTAGAAGGCGGCATAGTGCAAAAGTTCTGTAGAGCATTCGGCATAGTGGAAATCCTCCAGCAGCAGCACAGTGCATAAGGGACTATAGCTTTATTCGGAACTATATAGAGAATCCCACAGTAAGAATCAGCTCATTGCATGCACTTCCCTGTAGCAGTGTTCGGAAGAAAAACTGCTTGCAGAGTGTAGATATAATCGGCACAGTGCATAGAATTCCATGTCGTTTGGTTCGGTGCAGTTCAGAGAATTCCTGTTGCAAGCGGCGGCAGGGGAAATTGGAACACTGCATTGAAGGGAGGATTGGTTTAAGGCAACACAAGAGTTTCGGTTGTACAAGTATTAACAAGTTTTAACAGTATTGTTGAATGAAAATTTTTATAATTTGTCACTAAGATTTAGATGTGATTAATTTCGAAATATGTGATGGATTGTAGTTGATATAAGTGTGCAAACAAATTGGGGAATCACTGACGGAAGATTAAGAGAGAAAATTTAAAGAGGTAAGAATTCTAATATTTGTAGTAATATCTTTTATATTTCCTAAATGCATAAAAGTTCTAAAGAAATGTATCCTAATTGTATTTTAGGATTCACCATATATATGAATAAGAAAAGTTTTGATGTAAATTTATGTTAATCATAAGTTTATGTTATACATTTGATTGAATAATGGATTGCAATATTTATAAGATTATAAGGGGATTGTACGTGACATAGAAACGTAGAAGAGTAAGAGATAGTGGATTGGAGGATACGGCTCATCAGGAAAGTATGTAAATATTAATTAACAAATGCAAGAATTAATATTTCTAAATATATTTATGATGTCACATGATTTAATTGAAGTGATAAATGTATTACACAAGATTCCAATAATACAAATGATTATACTTCCAAGTTTTCATGTATGATCAACCACTTGCATATATGTATCACTGAAGTTTAACATAAAATTCATGATGTTTATTGTAATGCTTTTCTAGTTGATTATAAATTGAAAAGAGTTCATTAATTTTATATTGCTAACATATCCTGACATGTAAATATTAAGAGACAAGTTCTCATATAAATTTATACCTAACAAGTCAAGAATGAGTTATGAATATGTGAGGTGTACAGAATATCCATTTAAAGTAAATTTTGGTTATAAAATAATGTAATTTATAATTACAGGTAAGGCAACACTGCATTGTAAGTGAGACAAAAAGGACCTCAGAGAATATGATATATGCATAGCACGTGGGGCAAAAGAGACCCCTAAGACGCAAAAGGGACTTATATAGAATTCAATGACAATAATGTCACGTAGAACATCATTATAAGAAATTCCAGAAAACCTAAAATAAGTTTACCCAAAAATATTAACTTCTGGTCAAGAGAATACCATACCTCAGAACTTTGTTGACAAGAACAATCTCCTCTTAGATAGATTCCACGTGATATTGGAGCTACAACAAGTATCTAATTGAGTCAAATTTCATAAAATTTTAAACTAAGAATCAAAGCATAGCTTGGAACGCATTAGAAGAATTTTAAGGTCTTCTTTTGATAATCAGAGTATGATCAGTTGAGTTTATGTTAATTTCCAGTGCAGGACGGATTAGTCTTGCTCATCACTATACCATACATTTTTTTAATCAATAGCGTAAAAATTTCACAAATGTAGAGGGAGAATTTTTTAAGAATCTACTACATTGATACAAAATTATTTAATTTCAAGAGAAATAGGGAGACTAACTCGATTTTCCAGCTGGAGAAATAAAAACTTTATAGCAAACAGATGGAAGATTTTTCGACTGCTGAATATATTCATATGCCCTGTTTGGCAACAAAAATAACCATATTAGATAAAAAGGTACAGGAAATTGTTTCCTGACCGGACAATTCTAAGCAAACAAGGTTTTCCACCAACAGTAAGAATGATGGCCTGCACAAGCAAAGCTAACCTATCAACTTGCATAAGCCCGTGCCCCGTGGTTAGTTTCTCAACAGGCAGATCACTAATAGGACTTGTTGTATTCTCCAATGCTTTCCGTACAGTGTATGGGCTAATGAAAATACCTTCAGCCTGAAACATAAAGAAGACATATTGTAATTTAAACTTACAACAATACATTAACAAGTCAGATTGCTAATGCAATACAAAGAGCAATGATTGTCATATCAACCTTCATTCCACTAAGAAGTAAAGCAACTCCACCACATGCTGATGGAGATGCCATGGAAGTGCCATTCATCAGCATGCGTCTCTGTAGAGTCCATGTCGGCACAGGAGCAACAGCTCCACCAGGCGCACTAACACTAACTCCAAGATCACCATCAACAGTCGGACCTCGACTAGACCTATCAAAATAAAAATTGCCAAGTGAATAAAAGGTTCAAAATTGAAATATATGCTCGTAATTCCTTTTACAAGCTAATATAGGATAGCTAGAACTAGGGAAAAATAAGCATTTAAAGAGGAGGAAGTTGAATGCTATTGTCTACAAACACATACATTCATTTTTAGTATCAAATCAAGGCTTGTAAAAAACTACACAAGGTATAGGATTTATAGTGCAAGAAAGCACCAACTCCACTTTGAAATCAGCAATTCATCTTTCAAGAGATGCATTCGTTTATTTTAATAAAATGTATCATGCTTTTCAAGCCAGGACTTTTTTAGATCAGGCGTCAAATCTTGCTATAGACACAAACCACCATAACGAATTACCTCTCTTGCACAAGATAGCACCTCGAATAAGGATAGTTGTATAGGCATGTTTTTAGACCTAGGCCCAATATTTGAATTTCAATTAAATTGTTAAGAAGGTGATTGTGGGAAAAAAAATATAACTAACAAAGATCTAAGAATTCTATTATCCTATGAATACCAGCAGTCCGAGTGATGAGGACATCGAAGATCAACGGCTACGATCATGTCTATTTATTTTGATGTATTTTATTTGTTATTTGTACTTTTCCATTTCTACCCTCACTTGAGGGCTTTGTTTTGAGTTTGCCCTAAGGGCAATTGTGTCTTTTTATTTTCCTTCATGTATTTGGCTATTTAAGTCCTCCCCTTCCTCTTGGAAAAGGATAATGATTATGAATGAAAATTTTGATTTTTGGATCTCTTTGTGAGTTCTACAGTTCTCTTTGTGAGTTCTTGTTGACCTGCTGTATAAAACAAAAGAAAAAAAAAACAAAAAAAAAATTAATTAAAATCCACGTACCTGTCTGGCGCCGAATTCAGCACGTCGTCGCCCACGACCTCGCACGATCGGATGTCCCTCTACGTTGTGTTAACGACTTTTTTTTTTTAAATCCATGAAAGTCTTAGTTAAAGGTTTTTGGCCCTTTAGAATTTCAAGAAAAAGTTGAAGAGATCAACTAAGGATTGGATTTTGGGAATGAAAGCCAAAGGAGGTGAAGTAGGGGCACTTGATTCTGAGATGAAACTCAGAGGTGCTCAAACTATCCTAGTTGGGCTTTACATTTTAGCAACCTAATTTTGGTTTAAGTTGATATTTTATTAGAAGATTGTGGCTTACATCCCATGGTTCCGTCGTCCCGGGTATACTATAGATTTCAGTCTACCAACACTAACAATCATTGACCATAATGTCCAAGGAATCTAATTAGCAGTCATGGGTTGCCTCCTCTCAGGGATCCCGAGTAGACTAAAGTGGTTAGATGTTGATTGTAGTTTTAATTTAATTTGAGTTGGGGCTTACTACTTCCTTAGAAGTTGTCTGTTAATTTATTTAGTTTGGATCTTATGGCTCCAATTAGGAGTTGCCCGTTAATCTATTTAGTTTGGGACTTACGGCTCTGATTAGGAGTTGCCCTAATAGTGGGACTTATGGCCTCTTTTAGAGGTAACCCGAAGAATTTAGGTTGGATATATCTTATGGCTTCCTTAGAAATTGTCTAACGGAGGGTCTTACGACCTAGTCCTGTAAGCTAAGTGACCCTTCTTGTGGGTCTTACAACCTAGTCCTTTTAGATTAGGATGCCCGAGAATTTTAATTGTTTGGGTAGGACTTATGGCTTCCCTTAGGAAGTAGCCTAAAAAGCGGGTCTTACAACTTAATCGTTTAGACTAAGATGCTCATAGGTTTAAATTTGATTGTTTAGGGTTTACGATCATTACTATTTATTTATCAAATTTCCTAAAATGTGAGGCTTACGACTTCAGTAAGAAGTTGCCCGAAAGCAAGTCTTACAACCTAATCCTATAGACTAGGATGCCCAAGTGAGGGGTCTAGGTTTGTATTATCACCTAAACACTTTCCTTAGATGTCGGACTTACGACTTTTATTAGAAGTGGCCGGGGTTTCAATTGGGTTTAGAGGTTAGGTCAATTTCTAACTAAAACTTTCCCCTAAGGTCGGGCTTACGACTTTCCAACGAAAGTTGTCGGGTAGTGGGTCTTACAACTAAGTTCCTATAAACGAGGCTGCCCAAGAATTTTGATTTTGATTGTGTGTTTGTTGAGAAATATATCAGTTGTTTAGGGTTTGATACTTGGAGAGTTTGAAAGATTTGTGATGTTTACACTTCGGGGCTTTAACACTTGCATTAGTGTTTTAATTATTTTGTGCTTGTAGCCTTTATCCTACCACAATAGTTCACTTCTTTACCCGTCCTTTTAGCACTGTTATACTACTGGCTTTTTTTCGTACTCAGCTTTTTCTTGCTTTTCAGTACTTTATTATACCTATAGTAGCTTTAGATTTATTGGCATTCATTTAATTCATTTATGATGTACTGACTTTCCACTTGTTTGTTAGCAGGTGTTCGTAGCCAGTAGTTGCAGCAGTCAGGGCTCGTAGTTGCAGAGGATAGAGCCCAAGGATAGTTGCAAGAACTCGTACAAGAGGGACTTTGGAGAACTTGCAGAGGAGTTTAGTTTGAGAGTTTTAGAGAGTTTTGAGAGTTTTGGAGAGTTTTGAAGAGGTTGTACAGTTTGCGAGAGCTTGTAAGTTGAGAATTGGTGAGGATTTTGGAGAGTTTGAGAGCCTGTATATGTCAAATAGTGGACAACATTCTTCCTTCCCCTTTTCCATTTTATTCACTGCATTTTTATTTTATTTTTGAAATTTCTCACTTCATTAATTAAAATACTTAACCAATAAATATATTTTAAATTACAGTGCCCTCAAAAATTTTTTAAATAACTCTTGAATTTTATTTTTTTTCTTTAATTTAAAATTCTTTCAAATTTAAAATGCTCTTATATTTTAAAATTTGCTGATTCCAAGTATTTGAATTTTCTTCTTTAAAATAATCAATCAATTAATTTTAATTAATTTTGATTAATTAATTATTTTTTAATTAATTAATCAAATATTCAAATTTAATTACCCCAAAATTGTTTCAAAAAAGTTCAATAATTCTCTCGAAATTTCGACAGCCTCCCGGCGTCACCTTCCCACCGAGGGAAAAATCAGAACGGCATTGCCGTAATTCTTCCTACCCGGACCTAAGGTCGACGGCGTAGGGTCTGTGATTTCAAACCATCTCACCAGGATCAAAGATCGACTGCGTAAGGTCCTCAATTTGGATCCATCCCGGCCGGATCTAAAATACAACAGCCCGAGGTCTTCAAATTTTAAAACCATCCGCCCGGATTAAAAATCAACGGCGCAGGTCTTCAATTTCAAACCATCCCGATCGGACCTAAGGTACGACGGCCGGGGTCTTCGACACATGTTTAAAAAAATGTTTCTTTTCTCTTTCTTTTTTTTTCTTTCTTCTTTCTCTTATATATATATAATGTAATATAACAAACAGAAGGAGAGAGGGAGCCCGATCGGGCATGGTCGGAGGCGGAGGTCACGCACGGCTCAGGAGCAGGTCACGATCGTCGAGTCAACCGGCGGCGTCGGCTCGGGTGGGGACGGCGGCAGTCAGGTTGGCTAGGGCACGGTCGGGCAAGGGCTTGCGAGAAGGGGGAGGAGCGAAGGAGCGTCGCTTGCAATCTCTATACCTCCCGTGAAGCAACATAGCCGAACAGCAATAACGCAAAGAGAAGATGAAAGGCGAACCCTAGATGTCCAACGATCAAGGGGTCGAAGGAGCAGATTCGAACGACAATGACGGAGTCGGAGGGGCGACGTCGAACAGGAATGAGGAGTCGGAGTCGAACAGCAACACGGAAGGAGGCGTAAGTTTTTTTTTTCGTTTCTTCCCCCCTTTTTATCGTTTTGGATGGTCGGTGGGTAGTTATCATATGAAGCGATGCTTTGCTTGCGAATAACCGTGTGTGTGGGACCGGACTGAAAGAGGCATCGTAAGAATGTATCTGATCGATCATTTCTTTTCTTCTCCTTTTTTTCTTTTTTTTAGTCAACAAATTGCCTCCCAACCTCCCAACCTCCCAACAAATTTGTTGTGTGAATTTCACACAATGAATTCGTTGTAATATCTTTAGATATTTATCATTTATGTTCAACGCTATTCCTTTCTCTTTTATTTCAATCATTTAGATTGGTTTAAGTAGCTCGACCCTTAGGTTTGTGAGCATAGGAGATTTCAAAGTTCGGCCCTTTAGGCTTATTGAACCGATAAGCTTTAGCTCCACCCTTAGGTTTATGAGCTTAGAAGATTTCAGAGGTTCAGCCCTTAGGCTTATTGAACCTCGTGGGTTCAGCTCGACCCTTAGGTTTATGAGCATATAAAATTTTGAAGGTTCAGCTCTTAGGCTTATTGAACCAACGGGTTTTAGCTCAACCCTTTGGTTTATGAACATATTAGATTTATAAAGTTCGGCCTTTAAGCTTTTGAACTTTGTAGGTTTTAACTCGACCCTTAGGTTTATAGCGTATGAGATTTCAAAGGTTCTTCCCTTAGGTTTATTGAACCAATGGGTTTTAGCTCGACCCTTAAGTTTATGAGCATAGGAGATTTTCAAAGTTCGGCCCTTAGGCTTGTTAAACTTTATGGATTTAGCTCAATCCTTAAGTTTATAAGCTCATAAGATTTCGGAGGTTCGTGTTACATCCAACTTTACAGGTAATGAAAAAAATTCAAAAGTCAATTCATTTAAAGTTAAATGAATTTTAAAAACACTTAAATAATTATTTAACGAATAATTATTGTTAAATAAATGAAATATTATTCTTAAGTAAAATTAATTTCTTATAGTTAATTCGTAACAGTTATTTTTTAAGAGATGTTTCCTTTGGGATGTATGATGAGATAGCAGTTATTGGTGTGGGGCCACTCTTTTAGTGGTTTTCACGATAAGCTTAGGAGGCAATTAATGATAAAGGAGTTGCTGTATGTGAAACAGAGAGGAATTATAGGTTACGGAACAGTGCAAGTTTCGGCACAGTGCAGGATTCAGAACAGTGGAA